TGGTTTCAATGATGATTGCCTATCTTCCATATGAAGAACGTCTTGGGTACCATAGAAATATTTGGGATGCTATTCCCCTTGTTCTGCCATTAACTTACGAATTCCATTTTGATTAGGATCCATAAAAATGCCGTCAAGAAGGGAGATCCCTGATTTAGTGCAACTCGTATCTGACCAACTTATCGCTGCGCTACCCAATATAGTCAGCCATGTGGCTGCTGGACTGAATGCCAACCAGACCTCAAGCTCTGAATCTAGACCTCAACGAGAATGTACTTATAAGACTTTCAGAGCTTGTAACCCCAAGGAATTTAATGGAACCAAGGGAGCAGTGGAATTACTATCATGGCTAGAGAATGTGGAATCCGTTCTGCATATTAGTAAATGTACCGAAGGAAATAAAGTGAAGTACGCAGCATGCCTATTGCAAGGAAGGGCACTCACTTGGTGGAACACTATAGTTCAAACCAGGGGTCGAGAAGCAGCTAACCGACTCTCCTGGGAGGAGTTTAAGAAACTGCTAAAGGACGAATACTGTCCGAGGAGCAAACTCCAAAAAATGGAAATGGAGTTGTGGAACCTCGAAATGAAAGGAGAAAATATCTCTGCGTACACAACAAGATTTCATGAGTTAGCAAATCTTGTGCCACATCTGGTGTCATTAGAAGAAGTCCGATTAGAAAGGTACATTTGGGGATTGTCCCCAGAAATTAGGGGAAACATAACCTCTGCCAATCCAAAGACTATCCAAGAGGCGGTAGAAATTGCCACTAAACTCACAAACAATGCTGTACGATCTGGAGGGTTGGCCAAAGAAAAACGAAAGATAGAGGAGTATGGGGACCGAAGAATTGGGAGGAAATTCGACAAAAGCAGGAGAATGGCGAAGAATGTTAGAGCTCAATCACAAGTGATAAGGCAGGGCGATGCGGAAAGATGCAATAAGTGCAAATTTCCACACCTAGGAAATTGTATCACCTGCCAGAGGTGTCGTCTAGGGGGCCACACGGCAAAGGACTGCCGGAAGCGGTTATGCTATGAATGTGGAAGCCCAGACCATATAAGGAATGATTACCCAAAGCGGAAAACAATGGCAAATGTAAACCAGAATCGACAGAATAGCGCAGGTAATTCAGGAAGTCAGGCTCGAGGCAGAGCTTTTGAATTGGGAGCCAGGGAAGCCAGAAAGGATCCCAGCGTGGTTACAGGTACGTTTCCTCTGAATAATGAATTTGCATCGATTCTATTTGACTCAGGGGCGGACAGAAGTTTTGTGTCACTAGACTTTAAGTGGAGAATTAACTTAAGGCCCCA